ATTTCCAGCATATAATTGGAAAACTTGATGATAAAATTGGAATAGATGTGGCCTGACATCACAGTAAACACAACAGATTGAGAGATACAATTAGATGATCGGCTCTAATGTTTTCACCATAGCTTATATAATTATATTCTTTCTATTATGTTATATTTGTTCAGTGTGTTTCAGACACAGTTAGGATCATCAGATAACTCTTATTATGCTTTTATCTTTAAATAGAAACTATTCATTCTAAACTAGACCTCCTGTAACCAAACATGGTTTTATTCTTATAAATTCATTCAATTGCGCCTCATCAATCAAAATATTTATACCTCAAAGCTAAAATATTGATCAAAGATAAAAAGATTTAGATGATCTTACCCTTATATAATCTGCTTATCATTTTATGGGATGCCTTGAGCTATAGGGAAATTCTGGAATAAATTTATCTTGAACCATACAGTTCAATACCGGCAAAGGACAAAATGAACTTTTGAATTTTTCAGCCTGATTTCTCTCTATGTCAGCGATGCAGGTCATTCAGATGGAACAATAAGCCAAGGCTCCATGTGCTTAAGGCTGTGCACTTTAAAGATCCCTCCACATTTGGAAACTGAAAGAGATTAGATGCCCTTGTCCTGACAAAATTTCCTCATTGCACACTGCATGGTGTTGCCTTCTTAATCATTGACAGATGAAAGCATAAGCCACCACAAAATTACATGATATATAACCAAGCGGGTGGTGAAGCCACCATTACTAAGTGACTTCACATAAGTTTACCGCATCCACAATAAGTCATATTTTATTCACACTAGGTGTTTAAAGGTTTAAGAAAAGTAACCTCACAGTTGGTTTGTCAGACCATTATAAACTATCCTGTTTCTCTACAGTTCAACCACAGTATTGCAATTTTTGAGCTCATTTTGCTCCTATTGACATTTTATCAGATTAAATTCCAATTCTTTCGTGGTCAAATGAGATGAATCTTTTCAGTTTATTAAGTAGTTTTTATTTTCCAGTTTTAGGCACATGTCCAAAAGCATTTGTGATCTTCAAAGTGTCAGAAATGAATTTAATTTCACAAGATATTTTCATTAATATAGTTTTAGCATTAACATTTTAAACTGTAAAATTGAAATTCTAACAGGATTATGAGCATCATTAGATATTTGATTTGTTTTATGTAGTGTAAGTTTTACACCAATGCTTTTCTATTTCTCTTATTCTTGCAATATAAATGACATTTAACACCATTGAAGTGTTCTGATATGTTGTAGATGAGAAGAATTGATAAAAGCTTCTCAAGCTAATGAAATCAAAATATCTCAATCATGTGAAAACCATTTCATTACTATAGTACTTATTTATCTAGCTTCTGGTTTCTAATAGCAATAAATGTATGAAATTTATATTAGTGGTGTTGGTGATAGTGAAACCTATTTTCTGTGCTAGTAATATATACTATAATTAAGAACTAACCTAATTTCCTATATCTACTTACTAATGAACTATAATAATACACATGTGTATCTGTACTGTATTCACAAGTATACAGTGTATCATAAAACTGATATGATGTTGAAGTGCTAACACTCTCATGAGTGTATGATAAAAACTTGAGATATCAAATCAAAAGAAAAATATTTTATACATATTTAACATTCTCTATATAATATTAAGAGATCTAAGATATCTTAATTATAATTATTCCATACATCTTTAAGAAGTTACATTGTGATGTACCTAATAATGTTTTCTTCATGATGTATTTTTTCAACAACCCTCCTTTAATGCAAGATTTAATGAGCTAGCTCGCTTACTGAGATCCACAATTCCACTCATAATATCCAACATGCAATGCCACTGATAAAGCAATTATTCTCTCATTGCACACAGCATAACATTGTCCTTCCAAGAAGTGCTTTAAGGTGTAGAACAGTAGGACATCAACCCTAATTTTAATGTTTTGTTTGCAACAGTTCCTTTAAATTTCACACACAGTTCTGTATTGACAGTGTATTGAGACATGGAAAACATGTTTGTTATGCAGTGGAATTCTTAAGACAGATAGAAGTAATGAAATCATCAAACTTCTGCAACATAATTCAGCTTGCTACAAACAATTTGTGTTCTGATAAAATTTATCTCCACTTATACAATATTAAATCTTATATATATCACCAATTAGATATTACAGCAGAAAGTGAAACATGTTGTTACTCAAGAATTTTCAGACAACTGATCTATTTCAGCCTGTGTCCCTCCTGAAGTTTGACAAGTAGCCATGGTTTTCAAGTCAGCATTACAATTTATGTACTGAGCACTATTTCAACCGTAATATTTGTGTTGCATATTACCATTCCCAAGGTAGAAATTATTAGATAATGCATCTAATATACATGTTATTATACTGCCATTGTAATTATATATTGTTAGACCATATGTGTTAATAAAAATATCTATTGTTTTCTATGATAATATCTTAATGATGATTGTTGTCATTTCTTTCTACATATCAAATTTCTCTTTTATCTTCTATCAGTGGGTAGAATTATAAAAAGATAACCAGAAGATAATACATAATGACATAATCATAATTATGTACTATTCTTATATAGCACTTTTACCTACACTTCTAGTAACCTTAATGAGTGACTGGAGTAAGCAGGGTCAGGGGTTCAATCACTTAAGTGGTAAAGATGACACCTATGGGACAATAAACAAAGGCCATAGGTGCTACAGGCTATGTGCATAAAGATCCTGTGACAGTTGGAAATAAAAAAAGACAGCCAAATGCTACTGCCCTGTTTCTAGTTTTTGGGACTAAGATAATAAATATTCATGATATCACATGCTTACATAGACATTTTTACCTTTTATTTTGTAGATATGAAAAGGATATTTGGACATTAGTGTTGAAGAGTGCATCTTTAAAGTAAAAATGGTTTAATTGTATAAGTATAGTTTAAATAGCACAGTATTAACTAATAGTCACTTTAAGTTTCACTTCACTGCCTCTATTTCTTTACTCTACTTTTCTATGTATCTGAGTTTTCTTTAACTCAGATAATCTTTTCCTATGTGTGAACTCTTTTTGAATAGTGTTTCCTGGTTGGTGATTTTGTCATTCTTCAAATAGTTTTGTTACACTGATGTTCGTATTGGTGTAGCTTTGTATTTACATTGAATCTTCTTTAATGTGTTCTGTGGAATGGTTTTGTGTACTTTTTGTTAGTATATTGTTTCAATATATTTTTGGAATGCTGGATTAATCTTGTTTAAGGTATGTTTAATATTTAAGCTATCTTTTGGTATTTTTGTTTATACTTGTTACTAGGGTGGCAGCCATGTTGCAATTTGCAAAGTTTCATATCTTATAGTGTCTTTTAATCCTATAAATTCTAATGCATACAGTAATTAATTCCTACAATTAACTATTATTATAACTACATTACATATATTGCATTCCAACTTCTTTAAACGTCTTATTTTCAGATTTCTCCATTCCTGGTTAGGTACTTTACTGCCCACAGGTTCTTTAGTTAAAAAAACCCCTGTACAGGGTAGGTTTGCTATTATATTATATTATTATGTATTTAGATTTGTCCTTATATATTGTAATTATGCATGATGTCCTTAATTTCACGTATTTCATATGTTTATAGATATAAGGTGTAAATTTTTTTAGTTTTATTAAGAGTAAACTCTTACTCAGTTTTAATATATATATATTTCATTTATTTCCTGATTGTAATTGCATTATTTGTATTTTCAGGGTTTTGTTCTATGTTACGTAATAAACATCTAGACAACTGAACCCTTGGTGTGGTTATTTAACCCATAATCCCCACCCGACAACATTAGTTAAAATTCAATGTGTCATACAAAACTATGTAGATAAATTTAACTAACATCTACTAATTGTTAAAGGTTGTGGTTTATGATATCACCTAAGTAGGACTAAATCTACATTGAAAACTGAAATTTTTTCTATTCTTATTTTCTCTTTGGATGTTGAGCGATGATATTTGTGTCAGAAGTTAGGTTACAATTAAATTGAACTTAACATTAATTTCACTATAGATTTAAAGATTCATGAAAAAATGAGAAATTGTGTTGAAAAGTGTTTAACCCATATCAACATTACAAACCAGTGAATACAGTTCAATTAAGCCACAAATGACACTTTCTAGAATTTAAAATACAATCTAAACAAACGTACTATGGAAGTTAAAATTGTCACCATGCATGTGCAACAATTTCAGAAATAATGGCATTGGACAACCATAAATCTTTTAATCTGGGAAATTATGCTTTTTAAGGTGAATCGGAGATGGAATGCATAAATGGGACAGATCCTTTAAAAATAATGAAAACATATGTTATGTAATTATTACCAAACATTTGGCTGGATTCTCTAGAAGAATCTATTATAGTTATAAATATATCTGTCATAAAATTGACCCATATCTCCTAGAATCTTGCCAAGTGATCAGTTTTGCTGATTACACTTTTTTCAAAGCATTCTATTTACAGATGCAGTACTGTTTTGGTTGAACTGTACTCCTCTCTCATTGCTACTAGTACATGACGTATACATATATACATCCTATACCAAGAATTAATTAAAGTGATGTAGTCAACTAATTATTTAAAATATGTCAGGTTTCCCTACAATTTTAACTCAAATCTTCTGTGCATGTTTTTTTTTATTAATTGTGGTTGAATTAGAAGTCAGATTTTGGATCTAAAAGTGCTAGAGATAGCAGGAGGTATTCGGCTACATCAGCTGATTAGATACATATTTAATCAATTATATTCATTAAAAAGAGTTTGAACTCAACAGCTGTATAAGATTATCCATATGAATTGGTTTATTTTTTATAATCATTGTAACATATGAATATTTTTGTGACTGAAATTAAAATCAATCAAAATAGATCTACTTAAATCATCTATAATCCATAGACAACCTTAAAGGAATTGTAAAGAGTTTTTCTAAATATTTTATGTCTATTGGGGACACTGTTAGTATCAATTATTCAATTTGCATCATCCCAATTTCAATCATACGATTGTACAATCCCTTTGATTACCAGTTGCAATTGTACAATCCCTTTGATTACCAGTTGCAATTGTACAATCCCTTTGATTACCAGTTGCAATTGTACAATCCCTTTGATTACCAGTTGCAATTGTACAATCCCTTTGATTACCAGTTGCAATTGTACAATCCCTTTGATTACCAGTTGCAATTGTACAATCCCTTTGATTACCAGTTGCAATTGTACAATCCCTTTGATTACCAGTTACAATTGTACAATCCCTTTGATTACCAGTTGCAATTGTACAATCCCTTTGATTACCAGTTACAATTGTACAATCCCTTTGATTACCAGTTGCAATTGTACAATCCCTTTGATTACCAGTTGCAATTGTGATTACCAGTAAGGTTGCCAATAATGAAACTGATCACAAGTAATGAATACATCTCACAACTCAGTTGCATGAAAGTTGTGTCTGAAATTTATAAGCGCTATTCTTATTCGCAACTAAATGCAACTGGTGATTGTTATGGTGTGACAACCCCTTTATAAATAATAATTATAAATAAAAATTCATCATTTTTCTTCTCTTTATAATTCTAGCAGGAATATATTGCTTAAAAGTGATTGATAATGTGCTGAAGTCATAACAACTAAGATCAGTTACTAAATTAACTCATTATCCCTTATCCCTTGACATTATAACAACACATTGATTTTCTTTACAGAGTAAATTGCCTCTATTCATACACTTTAACTTCATTGACAATTTCTTGAAACTGGTATAAGATTTGATTATAGAATATCTTTTAAAGATGTAATACTTAACAGACAAGACACATGATGCACTAATTACATGCTGAGAATTAATACAAAAAATTTATTTCAATTACCAATCTGTTCTCAGAACGGTTGGACTGACTTAAATCTAAAAGGATAACCGTTCTAGGGACTGTTCCAATTCTGGCCAACCTCGACAAGGTGGTTTTCAGAACAGACTTGATAACAGGGATTAACATAACAGAACTGTTTACCCTGCATGCTCAATAAGTGACCTTAACCTTTTCCCACAGAATTAAGTCAATGTTGTTCACATATAGGTGATGACAAGGAATAAATTCAACTTCTTCCAAAAGAGTTCCAGAGATAAAAGTGCAGAGTACACTAGAATTGAAGAACAATTCATAGCAGCCCGGAAATGGTGTACATAATTTAAAAAGTTTCACCATGATTAACAACTATATCAATAATTTACTTTATATGGTGCATGATGACCTTGTATCATTTGTGGTAAACTTTTTGCTTTGAAGCTCTTGAGTCGATTGAACAAATACATATTGAAGGAAGTTGGTTTCAGAATAAAATAAATTATAAAAGAGTTTTTAATTAAGGTAGCTAGCATCTTCACAATGTCAACAGCCGCCTTGCATTGACTTGGTTGGTTGCCGATTAGAGTTCCCAACAAAAAGTCAACAATAGGCAATACTGCTCAGTCCGTCTGTTGATGGCTCTAATTTGCTCTCTTATTTAGTGACACTACTATTGCAGTTCCAAATAGCTAGACATTAGCTTAAAGGTGGGTAGGTAGCTTGTCAATCTAATTATTTTCATTTATCAATCCAATTTAGGCCTACCACATTGTCACCAATTTTTTTTACAGTCAACTAAAAATAGGGTATTGATAGAAATATTTGTGCTTTTATAAATTTTTACTTTTTAACATATATGAGTTGTATAAAACAGTAAAGTTGTCTGATATATAATAAATATTCAGATATCCCCTGATGTATAAAAACATCAAATTATTAAAATGCTAAAGAGCACAAAATGCCACAATTTATCTTCTTGTAAAATAATTTTTTGTACTTAAACGGTACAAATGACATTTTACATCTAACCTTTTCAGTTTATAAATCTTGAAATTTCAAAACAATATTCCTTTATCATAATGAAGAGTTAGAAATAATGCTGATGATGAAATATTTGGAAAATCAAACTGTTTCTGAAAACATATCACAAGAAACACTCCGTCACTGACATTAAAGGGAAGAGCTTTTTTAAATTTTGTATGAGTATCAGGGACAGTGATTATGTAGGGCCTTATGTGGTACAGCATATTTTGAGATTAGTTAGTTTTTAGTGGAATTGTAAGAACCACAGACCTCTGATTGTCCCCCATACAAAACCTCTTAACAATCCCTTTAATGAAAAAATTCATATAAATATAAAAATCCCTTTCTGGTTAAACATTTAGAATTTAAGAAAGAATTCCTGACTGAACACATTTTACCATCAATAAAACAATAAGAAAAATCTTTAACAATCAATAAAACAACAAAAAAACATATAATTACAAAAAGTTATAAAAATCAATGGAGACTTTTAGCCCAGTTTTAAAACATGGATTGTTAGAGGTGTGTAACAACAATGACATAAAATGTAAATTTATCTTATTGATTCTGATGAAAAGAAAAGAATTAAAGATATAATCATGAACATCTTGATTTAATTAAGGAAGGTTATGTAGGATGATTTGAATGATTAAAATACAGGGAAATTATGTTGGTAGTAGACAATTTGTCTACAACTTTATATAGTGTAATAATAATACTATTCAATTTTACAGAATTTTACAATAAAGTACTAATAAAATGCTTTATTTTCTGGCAAACAGTGTTCCAAGGCTTAAGGGGGATATCAGAATCAGAATAATGTTTCTTTTTAATTATTAATATCTGATATGATAATCTAATCTGATCATACAACAGTTTTTAGACAGTATTATTTAATTCTAACCTTAAAATGGTGTGAATCATTATTTTACTCATCTTTTTAGTATTGCATAATGATCATTATACAAAACATAATCTTTCTGTGATAGAAAATCTTAATCCTTTAGAGACTTTTAGCTATATCTAACTGAGATTTTCTTACTTCCGGTTTTGTTTATAAATTTTATAAATTATTCTAATTGTTTGACCAGTTTTTTTTGTTACACCAATCAATCTGCAAAGCCAAAGAAGATTCAGGGGTGGCATCATTGATTGGTTGACAAAACAAACAAGTTATCTGTTTTTGCCGACTTTAGAATGTTGATTATTCATATATTAACAAATACTAATATAATTTCCTATTTTTATATGTAGAGATATGTGGATAATATGGTAAATCTTAATTAAAATCAAAAGACATGACCAATATCAACTCTGGAATCAATTTTTATTTGGATCAGGCTGCTATAAAATATGCCCATTTACATGTAAAGTCAAATTGGCTCAGAACAGTTCTACAATTTACAATTGTAATCAAAATGAAAATCGTTCCTGCTCTGGGTATCTATAGAACTCTTCTTGAAAGAAGTTAAAATTAGTGCTAGTAGTCACCCAGATGTGAACAACAATGACACTGAATTATTATCAAATGCCACATATATAACACTTTATGACTGGAGATCTACATTTGTCCTTGACCAGAATGACCTGGTCAGAAGTATACTTAAGTTGTCAAAGAGTGAAATTGGGACCATGGGACTTGATGTAAAAGAGTTCATGACTTACAATCCTCATATCAAATTATCTTCTAAAACTCATTATAAAACTACAATTACATTTACAATTATATTTACAATTATACTTACAATTATACTTACAATAACACTTACAATTATACTTACAATTACACTTACAATTAAATGTATATTAAGGTTGTACAAATGGACAAAAACAAAATATAGAAACGTCCAATTAGTCTATAGTGTTTTACTTCCTGTTTCTTTTCTAGAAATTTTTTATTTTTGTTTACAGGATAGGACTGATGTTAGACTGATGTATGAAAATGTAAAACTTACCGTTGTCTTTGAGATCTTCATGTTTTTTTTCTTGACATAGATCACCCCTATATTCTTCTGTACAGTCACAAACATTGACCAAACTTCCCATAAAATACCTAAAAAAAACATTAATTAGTGAAAAGCAATTGCTTTAGGTTAAATGTGTTTCAGCTTAGATATTGTAGAATCATAGAATTAAATATGGCAAACTATATTTGGTTACAAAGAATGTTAATTGTATAATGATTTAAAACAATTTACATTGGTTACAAAGAATAATAAATTTTCATTTTATACAACATAATATATTGGTTACCAAAAATAATGATGTTGATTTTCATATTGTGCAAATTTATGTTGATTTGAATGTCTATGTTGATTTGATTGGTAAAGGATATCTGTGGTTGGTATTCAGAAATTGTGTGTTCTTTTGATTGCAGAATGTGTTAACTGTATGTACCGGTATATTTTAAACTGGTGTTGGATACAGACATGCCACTATAATGTTCATTTTATTTCTATTTTGGTTACTGTCATCAGCAGTTTAGGATTTTCATCTTAACTTTTGTTCTCTTAATCAAAATTTTCTTTTGGCCCTTATTATGCCAAAATGGAAGGAAATACATGTACAGAACTTTTTATTGTGGTCCCCATTCTTTCCTTACTAGACGAAATTGAAAGGAATTTGATCAACTTTCTAGTCTATGGTGTATCTAGGTAACTAAGTGTAAAAGGAAAAATGTAAAAATAAATGTCCTTGATATACATATACCAGTTAGACAACCACAATTTGTATAGAGCCATTGTACCACACATAACTCAACTCTTCAAGAAAAGATCATCAAAATCTCATTAGTTATTTTTATAAAGAATTAGGTAAAGTTAGGTTGTTCTACAGTATTGTTAGGTTGTCCCAAAGACACTTATTATCGCCTATAATACTCAAAGTAGTGACTATTTGAAAACAACGCGAACCCCAAGGCAATCTGATAAACCTATACCCTACCCTGAAGCATCTTTTATATGATCAATAAATTTGGTTTTACAAACCTAAGTTAGATGTTACCTATATGGTGGGGGCTGTCGCGTTCAAAGCAGAGCATGCTTACACTTTTCGAAACACCTGATGGTACTTCTCTTTGGAGGAGTCCACTACTATACAATTTGTATTCTTGATTTTGCCATACTTTGTTTCTGATTAATGAAATTGTCTTGCTTGTACACGTTTTTATTCATATGCACCATCCTGTAATGCCCAGGGCCATAATGAGTACCCTTTAACATATAACTTTAGATTTACCACAATTAGCCTCAATTAGAGCCTTATTGCTAAAATAAATCAATTAAAAGACAATTTCTAAATAAGAAATATTCCTGTATGCAAAAAGGCAAAATTTGTGCATATCCAATTATCCAGTCTTCATAGCTAGCAGATCGTGACATAAAACATGTGAGCAACAAATGATACTTAACTTAATCTTGCACTTCCTAACATGATTTTGAAAAAAAAGGGCAAAAATAGTACATTACACTTCCGTAGACAACTATACAGGGGACAAGGAAATGC